CGCACACATGCCTGGCGTGAGTTTAAGCCACCAGGTCCGGGACTCAAACCGCGGTCGACTACGTGGGAGTCCAGTGACATAGCCATTATACTAACTGCTGGTCCCAAATTTTTTTTTCTTAATAAAATGAGTAAAGACAGGGCCAGTCCCACAGCTCAGCAGTTAAGGGAAGCAGATCCCACATGGCCAACATGTAATTCGAATCCTGGCCCTAATGGCTTGAGAAACATGCCAAGAGAATGCATGACCCCAAACCCTGACAGGATGGAGAAATGGAGACGGGACTGTGGCATTACCACGCCCCATGGAGGAGGTGGTGCGGCCTTCTCCCTCTCCCTCTGTCTCTGTGCAAGCACTTGTGCCCTCTGGTAGAAAGTAAGAAAAACAAAGAAAAAGAAAAAAAAAAAAAAAGGCACAGCAGGCATGTGTGTGTGCATGCCCAAAATCCTGACAGGAAAGAGAAATGAAGGAAAAGAACTGTGTTGTGACCGTGTCCCCCTGCGGGGTATTTTCTTGTTCTCTCGCTCTGTGCATCCCTCTTTCTCTCCCCCTCTGGTGAGTGCATGCACCCTGTACCAGTTACAACTAAAACAGTTTTAAAAAAAGAGAAGACAAGACATGTAGAAATGGGTCCTTGGCAGACGGACCAGCCTAAACAAAGCCCTCCCAGCCTGGTGTGGCGGGGTGGGGGATGGCAAGGTCCATATGGCGTGAGGTAGGGAATAGTAGACGAGGCTAGAGAGGAAGGGGGAGAGCAGGCTGCAGTCAGTGCGGGGCAGCTGGAAGTGACAGGAAGGCTAGAAATGTCACCGGTCACCGTGACTGCCACAGCAGGACAAAGGGCTAGAGGGAAGGAAGGTGTCTGCCCAGGCCCGTCTCCATCTGTGGGGGCCTCACTCACCTAAATAGAAGCGCAGGAAGGGTGACGGTGTCATGTTCTTAAACATCATGATCTGCACCCATGGGTTTTTGTACTGGATCTGAGGGATGTTGAAAAACACAAATTTCCTGCAGGTGGAAAGAAATCAAGCCCATGAAATAAAGTTTTCAATCAAAAACATTGTGCACGTTGCTTTAAATTATTTTATTTAACTTTATTGATTGATTGATTTTAATTTGACCAGAGAAGGACAGAGTGGGAGAGAGAAACAGGGAAAGTGAGAAAGCAAGCTGCCAGGTCCGGGACTCTAACCATGGTCAGCCATGTGGGAGTCCAGCGCCCTTAACCACACTATGCCACCTTTCATCAGATTCTCAGAGGCCAGAAAGCAAGAGGGATGCCCGTGACCCCGAGAGCTGCATACAGCCCTGAGAACACCGACAGCAGGCCAGGCCTCTCCCAGGCAGTTCACAGGGAAAACCCAAATGGCCTGTCTCCACCGAACAGCCTCTGTATCTTCCCAATAAAGTCATGAGAACTAAAACACTTCTTTCTCACCTCTTAGGCTGCAAAAGATTTTTTTTTTTTAAGTATGGAAGTGGGGCTAGCAGGTGGCATGGTGGTTAAGGGCGCTGGACTCCCACGTGGCCGACCTCGGTTCAAGTCCCAGACCTGGCGGCTTGCTTTCTCACTTTCCCTCTATCTCTCTGTCCTTCTCCGTTCAAATTAAAATAAGTGTGTGTTGGGACCAGCAGTTGGCGTAATGGCTATGTCGCTGGACTCCTATGTAGTCAACCGCAGTTCGCGTCCTGGACCTGGTGGCTTAAAACTCATGCCGGGCGCATGTGTGTGTGTGCCCAAGATCCTGAGAGGAGAATGGAGAAGAAGGGATTGCGGCGTGACCATCCCCCCTGGGGGGTGATTTCTCACTTTCTGTCTCTCTGTCTCTTTCTGGCCAGTGCACGCGCCCTATAGCAAAAACCTCTCCAAAAAAAAAAAATGTGTGTATTTAATTTGACCAGAGAGGGACAGATATGTATATATATATGTGTGTGTGTGTGTGTGTGTGTGTGTGTGTGTGTGTATATATACACACACACAAAGTCAAATAATTCTTTTAAAAAAATATGAAAATGAAGCGATATTGCCTTAAGAATACAGACTGGCTTAATCTCTGGAAGTTTAGAACTAGCAAAATTTTAGGGCATGGAGGTTACAGCAGCTGGGTCCCCTATCGCCAACTGAGCAGTTTGGGAGTCCCAGACCGTGTCTTGAAAAATACCCCAGACACGTGTGCTGCATGCTCAAAATCCCAAAAGGAGAATGGAGGAAGGACAGTGGCGTGGCCTCTCTGGAGGGTGATATCTCCCCCCCCGCCCCCCCCCCGTTGTATATAACCCATGGCAAATTAAAAAACAAAAAAATACTAGCAAGGGGCCAGTGGGTGGCATGGTTAAGGGTACTGGACTCCCACATGTCTGACCACGGTTTGAGTCCTGGACCTGGCAGCTTGCTTTCTCATTTTCCTTGTTTCTCTCTCTCACTCTATCCCTCTCTGGTCAAATTAAAATCAATCAATAAATAAAGTTAAATAATTATTTTTTAAAAACTAACAAAATGTTAAAAGCACAGATGTCTCGGGGCCAGCAGACAGCACAGTGGGCAAGGCTCCGGCCAACTGCAGAATCCAGCAGCTTGAGACTCATGCCGGGAACGCGTACGTACGTTCCCAAAACCACAAGGGGATGGAAGAGCCGAGACTGTAACGTGGCCATCCCCCCAGGAGTGATTTCTCACTTTCCCTCTCAGTGTCTCTGCTGAGTACACCTGCCCTAGGGCAAACTTTTTCTTTTATCTTTAAACTTTAAACTTTATTTATTCTAATTTGACCAGAGGGGGACAGAGTGAGAGAAAAGGAGAAAGTAAGCCACCAGGTCCAGGACTCGAACCATAGCTGACCACGTGGGAGTTCAGCGCCCTTAATCACCCGGCCACCTGCCAGCCCCATGGTAAAACCTTTAAATAACAAAAAACCACAGGTCTCAAGGATGTCAACTGTGGATCCGCGAAACACAGAGACTGCGAGGCTGTGACTTCACCTGTCATGGTGAAGGGGCAGACATGGATGGCGCTGATGAGACCAACGGCTACCGGCCACAGGGCCATCCCTCCGAGGGCCACAGGGCCCCTGACTGCCCGCGCCAGCCTGACCCGTGGCTACTGGTGTGTGCCCTGCAGAACGGCTCCCTTGCCCTCCAGCGGGGGTGCAGGCCAGAGATGAGAAAGAGGGAGGCAAAGGCAGCCGTGTCTCCCTCCCTGGGCCCCGGCTCTGCAGGCTCCTGCTCAGTGCTCCTGGCCTCGAGTCCCAGGGGTCCTTCCCTCACCTCAGGCCTCAGCCAGGTGGTGCGCTGTTCCTCGTGGTTTCTGCCCCCATCCTTGCTCACACTCGTGCAAACAGTCCCTTAATTACAGGCTCCCCTAATGATCCTAACTTAAGTGCACGCTCTGCTCCCACAGCTGCCCCGCCCCAAACACCAGCGAGAGTACCCGTGGGAAGGGGAGGAACACACATTCTCAGAGCTCCATGCCCGCACCACTTCCCAGCTGCAGGGCCAGGGCACAAGAGGGCTCAGCCTCAGTTATGATGCCCAGAAGACGGTGACGCACCACCACGGTCCAGATGGAAGCTCAGGGGACATATTGAAGATGAAACTGATAGAATCAATAGAAAGGCTGAGTATATGACTGCTTTTGTGAGGAGACTCCACCAATGGGGCAGAATCTGCAGCTGAAACAAAGTAAAACAATGGCAATTATTAACTCCAGGAAAAACAGATGGATTTGCAAAAACAAAAAGGAGAAATAATCATAGTATTCTAATTTTGCTCAAGTGTTTACTAAGCCACAGTAATTATTAAATACTGCAGAGTGTTCTCTCCAAACTGCTGACTGACTACCCTGGGAAGACGAGGTAGAGGAGGGGTGGGCGTGGGAGGTGGGGAACAGCAGTAGGAAGGTCATCTAGGGCCTCCTCTCCCACAAACAAGTCGACAGATTCTGCCTGGAGCTGGAAAATGAAGACAACTCGAAGGAAGGAAAACTCAAACTAACGAGTTGTAAGTTGCTGCCCCTAGGGGAGGAAATGGAGGCCTTGTTGAGCAGGACAGCACCCAATGCTGATCTCCACCCCCTGCAGAGTACCCCAACAGCAAAAAAAGTCCACCAATAAACCTCCCACAGCTGGAACTCCAGGGCAAAAGTGGCCCGGGAAGCATGGAAGGGCAAGTTTTCTCTCTGCTCCCAACAACCACCCCGGAAGGGGGGGTTACAACTAAGGAAAGCGCTGCAGGTCACACAGCTAGAGAGTGAAAGAGCCAGGGCTAGACTGATCTGGACCGCTACCACACTGCTCCATCAGTCACCAAAGGACCAGGTTCGCCTGTGCCTGAGGCTCAGTGGGTGTGTACACGCACCAGAAAGAGGGATCCCGAGAATGAGGGAGAAAGCACCCCAACTAGGACTGGCTGTGTCAGCGCCCCACAAACCCTTCTCCTCCATCTCTGCGCCGCAGGATTTCCGACAAGCACGCACAGCCAGGGGAGGATCCACACCAGTCGGCCATGTGAGACCTGGCTCCCTTAACCACTCGGCTACAGGCCAACCCTCAGGGCCACTTCTTAAGGCAAGGACGCCTGGCACAGGGGGTGGTCACTTACCCCTCAGATACTGAACAGGAAGCACCCGCCCACCCAACAGGGCCCATGACAATGGCAAGCCCCAGGCTGTGGTACTAGTCACCTGAAAGGAAGAAGGCCTACAGCCAGCAGATGGTGTAGTCTTTAAGGTGCTGGCCTCCCACACAGCACCTGAGGTTCGAGTCCCAGACCCGGTGGCTTGAAATTGATGCTGGGCACACGTGCATGTGTGCCCAAAATCCCAAGAGAAGAATGGAGAAGGGACTACACCGTGGCCATCCCCATTGTGGGGTGATTTCTCACTTTCTCTGTCTCTGTCTCTCCAGAGAACACACGTGCTCTACAGCAAAAATCTCTCCACCCCCCCTAAAAGAAACAAGGAAGGCCCTTGTCAGAGCAGCTGAATGCGAGGGCCCCTGAGCAATCTCAGGCTCATGGGCTAGACAGAGCAAGTGAGGCAGGCCCAAACCCCAGGGCACTAATCAGAGGGCCAAGGAAGCACGGTCTAGGAGGACGGGACAGTGTTGGCCTACAGGGCACTGATCCTGAAGAAGGGCAGTATGAGCTCCTCGGGCCTGTTTTAATTGGCTCCTTTAAGAAAAATGGAGATTTTTATAAATTTGAATTCCAGCTTTTTCTTTTTTTTTGGAGAGGTTTTTGTTACAGGACGCATGCACTCACTAGACAGACAGAGAGAGAGAGATCCCTCTCGGGATCTTGGGCACGCATGCACTCGGACCCAGCATGAGTTTTAAGCCACCGGGTCCGGGACGCAAACCACGGTTGACTACGTGGGAGTCCAGCGACATAGCCATTACGCTAACTGCTGGTTCCCTGAATTCCAGCTTCTTGACAGATCAAGAATTCTCCAGAGTCCCCACTGCCCAGCAGCGGAGGGCCCCACTGGCGAGCCAGCCAGGTGGTGTGGTGGTGAAGGCAACTGGATCCCACATGGCCAACTATGCAGTTCAAGTCCCAGACATGGCTTGAAAATACGCCAGGCTGTGAGTGTGGGTGCCCAAAAATCCGGAGAGGAGACTGGAGAAAGAACTCCAGTATGGTCATCCCCCTGGGGGTGCTTTTCCACTTCCTCTCTCTCCTCTTTCTCTCCAGTGAGCACGCGCACTATAGCACATTTACAAAGGGGGGTGTTTGTCAAGGGTACGTGTTCTCCAGTTCCCGGGCACCATCCTGCCTGCCTCCCTCCTTTCCACGAGCTGCCAGACCTCTGCCCTGTGACAAAATGGATGCACACAGGGTGACTTGGGTTACGAAGAGTCTTTGGGGGCCCACTAATCCCAAGACCAAGTTTTCTGGGAAACCCTCATCGAGGGGGCCCCACGTAAGCAGGCCCAAATTTTCAGGTTCATTTGCACACAGCAAAGGGCCCCTGACCTGGGACCACCCTCCACGAGGTGCTGGCCCCTCTCATTAGACCCACCCCACACACCCAGCCCCAAAGCTCCAGCCCACTCAGAACTGAGATCTCGCCCACTGTGGAATTCACAGCCACACAGGCCTGGCAGGCAGCAGGTATTAATAAATGCATACTTGGGCCGGCAGGTGGCATGGTGGTTAAGGAGCTGGACTTGGCTGACTACGGTTCGAGTCCTGGACCTGGAAGCTTGCTTTTTCACTTTCCCTCTCTCTCTCTGTCTCTCTCTCTGGCCAAATTGAAAAGTAAATAATAAAAAATGAAATTAAATAATTATTTTTTAAAATAATAATTAACTAAATACATACATACTTAATACCAGAAGAGCCCAAGGTACTGCTTGGGGTGCCTCCGGGGACAACTTGCCACTGCCCTGCACGGAGACCCGAGTCCCTACTCTAACGTGTCGGGAGGTGGTCTCCCGGGACTTCCC